ACGTTATCTGTTTGAGTTGTCATCATGAAAGTTGTAGAGTCATGAGTTAGGGATAATTTCCAATTAGAATAATCATGATATGACCTATGGACTGAAAGTTACATGCATTCTAAGTTCATCGCGCATGCTGAAAATTGTATAAGCTCATGTTTGGAATTCCAAATTTGATTGTTATTGTTTAAAGACATGTTTATGTGGCATAACTGATCCATGTCATGCTATTTGAAGTTTATATGATCCTTCAATTCCCTATGTGATAAAATTTAAGCAAGTTAAGTTATCAACCAATCGAAAAGACTTAAACATAAACAAACGTTTTCAAAGTATGCAAGCAAGGCGAAGCCGAGCAAGCAAGTTTTCAAAGTTCACGTATATGTATAAGAGTAAGTATGAGTTTAAGTTAAGCCATGATAAGATTCTAAGACATGCCCCAATGAATGTAGTTATCGAGGAGTCGAGCCCTCAGGTTCTTTCAAGTTCAAGCCTTTAAGTCGAGCATTCCAAAAAAAAAGGTGGGGGAAGTTCTACGTTATTTATCCTTTTTGATTATCTATGTTTTGAATGAAGTTAAGTAGCTTGCATAGTACCCATGTTTATACAATGTTCCAACATTCGAGCAAGTCGCTTGTTGCAGTACCAAGGTTCACGGATTATAACTCTAGAGGGTGGCTAGATGCTAGGGTTAGAGTATGTAAGTGCGTGCATGTAACCTTCGTTGGTGCACACTTCGAACGGTTGTCCCCGTCGATAAGACTGTACGGAGCCATGATGAGGGCTGTCTTCCTTCAACCCCACGGGTGGTACTCTCGTCAAGCCTAGTTGGCCGTGCCGCGAGAGGCAATGTTCTCCCACCACCATAAAGTGGTATAAGGAGTTTGACGAGGGGTGGGAGTGTGACGATAGTGTACTCACGTGCGTGCTATGACTTTAGTGTTTAGTTGTCTAATAGGGTTGTAGTAGCAAGAAAGTCTTTCGACTTGTGGGCAACCACTCGCCGGGAGCTCATGATTATGTTGAGTATACCTAATGATTTCATGCATGATAGTTGGTTAGGATGGTAACTTAGAAGGATCTCTCACTGAGTAAGTGGAAATGCTCACACCCTATTTGTTTTCCACACCCAGGTATATGGCGAGCTGGCATTGGAGCGATGGCGAGGGTGGTCACATAGTCATAGAATTATAATATGATTCGAGTTTCTACGTTTCCGCAATTAGTTATGTTTTTATGGAATATTCATGTTTAAAGCAAAGTGTATGTCATCGATATGCAAAGTTCAATGTTAAGCCAAGGTCACATGTAAGCCCTCAAGGCATTGCCATGGAAAGTTTATCTTTTATGTCTAATGTTTTCAAAGTAAGACAAAGTCATGAGTTGTTCGCGAAATGTAAGTTAAGTTTCAAATGCAAGTAAGTTTATTTTAGTAACGCCCTAAGTTTAAGTAAAGATTTCCAAGTATTGTTTCAAAGAAAAATTTACTCTGAATTTTCAATTGATTTCAACGTACGAAAAGTGGGGCGTTACACACAGATAGCGAAGCGGCGCAAATCGCGAGGAGGCACGGTGATTAAAAGTACAGAACTGATAGGACATGTGGCTGGCGGAAATCACGCTGATAACAAAAGAAAATAAGAGGCAGTTATAGTGCACAATAAAATCGACCACGTGGCCGAAGAAAGGTACCGACATTAGCAAAAACGATCGAAAAAGGAGGCCAGATGCAAGTAGGAGATCGAGAGGTTGGCAGAGTTGAGAAGACCGCTCGAATTCACTCTTAGATCGAGTCATTCAAACTCGACCAGAGGGAGTGAACTAGATAATATGGGATATTATATGACTAAGGAATAGACCGGCCTACAGCATAGGTTGGGCGAGCTCGAAGTAGAGAAAACCGCATTGGTCGAAGAATGATCGACCAAAAGGGAAGGGATCGAGCAGAATCGCAGAACTGGTCGAGGATCGACCTAGCGATGGGGGGGGCTCAATCAGATCGAGCACCCAGCAGAGGGAGAGCAGTCGAGAGCGTGGCTTGAACGCGAGAAAGCGCGTGGGTGGCGTTAGAAGATCCTAACGGCCTGCGCAGAAGAATAATCTCCCTCATCTCAGAGGGACACGTGGCGAGAATACATTGGTGCAAAGCAATAGTGGCGATAACCACCTCTGCATCTCTGACAACGCACACTATGTGTGTACGGACGGGCAGTACGGGCAGGACAGCTCACCAAAAGCCGGGCAGCTCCTAGGGCAGGTATCTCACTCCTATATATAGGGGAATTGGTCTTTTCTTGTGACTTACGATTTATCCATTCTTTACTTTGGAAAATTGAACAAACACATACTGACTTAAGCATCGGAGGCACTTCACCAGAAAACCCCTCCGGTGTGAGAGTTCTATGCAGGTGCGCTGCGTTCTACCGGCGAGGAAGAGGAAGGCGAATCGATTTCAAGCCGGTCGGAGTGTTTTGCGTTACCAGAACTGAAATAATCGTGATTTTAAAAGTAAAGATGAATAATCGAACTGAAATACAATTTTTTAATAGATAATTTTAGTTTGTTCGGAATTTATCGTTATTGTTGGAGAAGTAATTTTTTATTTATGTTAAAATTATATTTAATATGTTATTATTATTTTTATATTATATTAGGTTGAAAAAAATTGAGTTCAGTCGATTTTGATCTCTATTTTCAATCTATATTTTGCAATTTGATAGTTGTGATAAAGTGCAGAATGATGTACTATAAAGTACAACGTGTTGTTTTATAAAGTGCAACGTTTTGAAATATATAGTGAATTATTTTACTTTAGGTAAAGTGCAACGTGTTGTTTTATAAAGTGCACCGCGTTTTTTTATAAAGTGTAGCCTGCTGATATATAAAGTGCACTAATGTATATGATCGCATATAAATTATGTGTTTTTGAAAACAATATTTTAATAGATATAATTGTACATCGAATTAACCTAAATAATTGAAATATATTATTTATTATTATAATAATAATTTATTATTATTATTATTATTTTTTTGTCGAAACGATAGAGGTTTTATAAATAAGCGCACAAATGTGCAAAGATACAGCCACTAGCTGAATAATACAACCATCGACTGAGAAACTTGGAGGACAGGTTTGAAAACCGCCTAGATCCGCAAACTAGCAATGCTAAAATACACGGCGACACACTAGATTACAAACACGAGATAAAACGACCCCAACAGGGTAATACTCACTCACAACTCAAGAAACACAGGGGCCAACGGCCAAACAAAAAACACAAGACTAAACCAATAACAAAAACACACCTAAGAATAAAACAACTAAAAACTAAAGAACACGGCCCTCCCTCAGCTGAGACCTCCAAAGTAATCAGCAAACAAGTCCGACTCCGAGGAGAGATCCTAAGCACAGGAACCACGCCCGCCACTGCCTAAAGCCTAGCAAAGGCGAAGACCCCAGCTTCGAAACAATCCAAAAAACTGGCCCACTCCCGGCCGCAAGAAACCACAATCACCCGCCAACCGGCTAACACCACTAGCCAAATCCAGTACCGCCCGAAGACTGCCTATCACCACTAGCCAATTTCGGAACGGCCGGTCTCCCCCAGCCTCAAAACGAGAGAAAAGGAAGGAAGGGTAACGAATGGCCTCAAGCCCAGCCGTGCCGACACAGTCCGAATAGACAACCTACTTCTAACACAGACCGCAGAGACCAACCCCGGCCCATTACCCTTCAGCGACCGGAAATCAAAAAAGGAGAGACGAGTCGAGTCTTACCTCTGAGCCCAGAAAGAAGAGTCGTCCCGACCTGAGCCGACGCGAGCGACCCCCGCCCCTTCTCTTTACTGGCATCGAACCCCACCGAACCCCAACACCTCAGAACGCCGGCGGCCACAACAGAGGAGAGTGAAATCTGCCGAAACCCTAGCCCGCCCCCTTTGGCTTGAGGCAACGGATGAGAGCATCTCCGCCAGAATCATGGGGAAGGAGCGGAGGCCGTCCACCGACGAGCCTGGACGATGACTGAGGGAGGCTCAAATCCGCTAATACAGGCTAATGACGAGGGGATTGAAGATGGCAATTTGGGCGATTTTTTCTTCGGAGCGGAAAGAGAGAGAAAACTTGCTCCACTCTCGCATTGATAATAATTTATTATTATTATTATTATTTTGGGCAAATTCACCCTGGAATCAAACCGAAATAATTGAGTTATTTTGTTGGTTGATCAAACTTGACGGTCATTACACGTTTTTCAGCAACTATAGACAGTCTGTACGAACCAAAATTTTGTCCCAACCAAATTGAAATCAATCATTAATGTGCATTTCAATGTTCAATTTTTTTTAATAATATGTATCTAATTAAAATTACTGTACATTTATCAAATTATTTATGCAATAAAAAATATGTAGTATTTATAATTTTTGTATTTAATATTTTATATTATTAATTTGATTAACATGTGAATTTGTTATGCTATGGTGCAATCTCACTAACACAAAAGTGCAACATGGCAGTCGATAATATGCAATATGTCCAATAAAATTTTAATATTTTATACTATTTTATCAAAATGTCTGGCCCTGAAACTGGATAGCTAGCAACTGCTGGAAATGGAATTGAGAGTAGAAACTAGTGATACTCGATTAAAGGCACTCCCATAGGCTGGCAGGTAATAATTAACTAAAAAGGGTTTTACTTTTCTTCACAAGGGTGGTCTCTCATCCATCCAATGCATTCTGTTTAATATTTTATATTAATTTTAGAAATAATATAATATATGCATGTAAAAAAATATTAAAAAAATAATATATTTTTTTATACATTTTTTAATATTACATATTTGACCACATGAATTCAATTGAAATATAATAAAAAAATTTAATATTACAATTCAATCCCTAGAAATAATCTAATTCTCATAATCAAATAATTCAATTTTGCCACAAATCTCGCCAGCTTAGGCCCTAGTCGCTGGCGATTTATCGCCGTCCGACTCTGACTGCCTGGTCCCCTGCTCCTCCCGAATTGGACGTGCATTTGTTCCTGGCGAAATTAGGGGAGTTTTTTGTGAGGCGGAAACGAAACGTCGAGAGCCGGTGGCGGACGGCGGGCCGGCGACATCTTGGAGGACTTTTAGGACGTATACGGCGGAGGTGCGGTGCTATCGGACCTTGTATTTTTTGTTGTTGTTATTGTGGCCGAGGAACGGGATCCTCTTGATTCTCGATGTCGGCGGCGGAGATGGGGGAAGAGGAGGTGGGAAGAACACAAGAGTTGGAGACGGGCGGCGATCAGAGGAGCTGGTGAGGCAGATGCCGAGGTCCAGGTGCAGGTAGTCCGCATCTTCGCAAACATGTCTATTGCTATATCTCTAGATTCAATAATTTGATATGAGATATATTGAACGCAATCACTTGCTGCCGTTACTCTTCAGTTTTCTGTTGAGGTCTATCCTGTAGAGGTACTCAAATTCACAGGAAGGAGGGCGTGGAGCTTAAATAACTCGCCCAGAACATTTTTTAAAAGCTTAAGTGATGCCATACTTTTAGTAAATGATAGAGAAATCCACCAGGGCAAAAAAACTATAGATGCAAGATCCAAAAGAGGAGTGAAGGCTTTCTTTTCGGGTTGTTGAAATCTTTCTAGCTATAAAGATCTTTGGATTTCCTCCATTTGAAATTGTATTTGAATCAAAAGTAGCCAAAACCAACCCCAAAATTATTCTGAGAATCTACAAGAAGATCAAAAAATCAGAGATTTTATCAAAAATTATATACAAAAGAATCTGAAAATATCCTCCAATGCCGAAGGAATTGCCCGTATAGAGATTGTAAAAGGAATCGATTTAACGACAATCAGAATCTTTACGGGGGTTCTTTTCACCCTTCCCTCACGGTACTACTTCGCTATCGGTCACCCAGGAGTATTTAGCCTTACAAGGTGGTCCTTGCTGATTCACACGGGATTCCATGTCTCTGCCCTCCCCCTCTATCTATCCAAGGGATGGAAGGGTAGAGGCCTTTGGTGTCCCTTCTAGTCAAGAATTCAAGAATTGGGGCCTCACAATCACTAGCCAACAGTCTTTTCTCTCATGCCTTTCTTGGTTTCAGACTTGGTACAACACAAATCCACCATTCCATTTGGTATGCACAACCCCAAAATTATTCTGAGAATCTACAAGAAGATCAAAAAATAAGAGATTTTATCAAAAATTATAGGGTATTCTCTCAATTCCAATAAAACGAAATGGTATCAAGTATGGGTCAATACTAGCAAAAACATTTTGTGGTACATAAAATATTCAGCCAAAGCAGCTCCTGTATAACAAGCGAGGTATTGTAATGTAGCAGGGGAAGCTGCCGTTTCGGCTACCACAATAGTGTATTCCATGGCCCCATTTTCCTGTAAATTAGTTACTACCTGAGGTAAGCATCCTGTAGTAAGAGGAGTAGTTATGAACCCCGTAGACCATCCCCAAGAGGGTGGTGAGGGGAGAGCCCCAATTGGTAGAAAAAAACCCACAACCCTGTCGGGTTATCCTGCACTCGGAAGAAGAAGTCGAAAAAGGAAAAAATATAGTGAGAATTCGATTGTTCATCGCCGTGAGTTTCGCTCTTTCTCATATGGGATTAGTACACTTCAAGAGCCCCACTCCTGGCGGGGCCTAGCGGAAAGCCTAGTCTGGTGATCTACGCCTGTCGGATCACTAAGGCCGACTTTCATCCCTGGTCAATGGGTGGGTCTTGCAGTCAAGCTCCCTTCTGCCTTTGCACTCGAGGACCGATCTCCGTCCGACCGAAAGGTGTTAAAGTTGCATAGATTATTTGCATTGCACCTAATATTATAATATTAATTTAATATTAACCAAGGAGAAAATAAAGAATGGGCGTGGGGGAGTAATATTTATATATGGAATTTATAATTTTTTAAGCTGAAATATGTCATTTATTCAAACGGAAAACTGAAATATGACATTTATTCAAACGGAATGAAAACTAAACTCTGCTTTTTTAAGATAAACTATGCTTTCTTATTATTTCACGTGTCCCTTGTAACCGTTCTGGACATGTGTTGGAGACATTGAAATTATGAAACAAATTAATGGGACTGTTGGTGTGTCGGACCCATTGATGTGGTGGATGATTTGTCAAAATGTCCATATTACCCTTAATGATGTTATAATTCCAGTTGTTTTATCAACCATTAGATTGTTCAATCTAACGACTGATATTTATTCTCATTTCTTTCATTGAGAACCATTCTCATGTGAACTCAATCATATATATATGTGTGTGTGTGTGTGTGTGTGTGTATGTGTATGTGTGTGTGTATAATGTTATATGGCATAATATTATTTGATAATATTATTTCTTTCTCTTAATAAGTAACCGACTTGAAAATAAAAGATAAAGATGGAATAATATATCTTGTAGATGAGCATAGGAAAAGTGCAACAAGAACAGAAAAGAAAAGAGCAGCGTGGGGGAGCATCGTTGAGGACGTGCAGTGCAACAAGCAAGAAGATTTTGGAGTCTTTGATGACAAGGTCGGAACATGGAGATCATGCAATCCATTATTCATCCGGACTTGTGTTATTGATTACTACTCACCCATGGTTCACTTGTGATTATTTTATTTTCATTATCTGTAGTTTGAGAGAATATAATACTCAATTTTTTTTTTCGAAACGATAGAATTTATATATCATATGAACACAAAGGGCCGAAGCCAATACAATGGAAGAACAGCATCTGCTCCATACAAATTCGGGTCAAAGAGGTAGAGGAGAGCTCTCGGCAAAGGCAAAGCTTAGAGTTCGATAGTTCAAATCTATCTCCCGCTTACTAAACCTCCTATCCCTAGGACTTTAGAAGCTTACAAAAATAATTAGCTACTGTACCCACTCGTGACCTAGCCAACTATCAAAAAGCCTACCAACAACAAAATAAAAGCCAAAAATATATACAGACCCTTAAGACAACCAGGACAAGTACTTCAAACCAAGCACAACAAGTTAAGTAGGACAAGATTGGAACTCTCTCCATTCAGCCATTGCAAGTTTCACCGTGTCTTGTTCAGATCTCCAAACTTGCTGAAAAACCCATAAGTTGCGGGTTTTCCACATCCACCAGAGGAGGTAGCATGTGAGTTGAACCCTATCTTCAGAGATTGTCATTTTGTTGATAGAACACAACTTGATCCACCAATATTTGAAGCTATTTGTTTCTGAATTTATGCCTTCCCATGAGCTTGGGGCAAGTTTCCAGATCTTTTTTGCTCTGATACACATGAAAAATAAATGCTCTTGGGATTCTTCAAGTTCTCCACAAAATCCACAGATGTGATCAAGCTTTACTCCCCTAGAATTCAAATTCACCATCACTGGCAAAATGTTATTAAATCCTCTCCATATGAAATGTCTAATTTTCCTTTTGATCTGGAGGCTCCAAGTCCTCATTCTTGCATTTTTTAGACCACTTTGTAACTTCAGCCATTTCCTCTCAATTAAAGATTTGTATGTGTCTGCCACTATAAATTTTCTTTTAGCATTCCCAACCCACTGCAATGAATCCTCTCTGTGTGGATCCATCCCTTTCATTTTTAGGATAGCCTCTGCTTCCTCTGGTAAGAATTGGCTTTCCACTAAGCTTCTATTCCACCCTCTTCCAGTATCATCTAGCAGGTCTTGCACCCTTGAGAGGTTTGGAGTTCTTGGAGCTAAACCTGTAGGAGTCTTTTTGCTAGTCCCTTGAATCCAGGGCTGATCCCATATTCTCACAGAGTTACCATTTCCAATTTCCCAGATGACATTTTCAAAGAATAGATCTTTTACCTTCCACCAGCTAGACCATAGCCATGAACAGTTGTGCTTCTTTTTTGCTGCAGCCAGTTCACAATTTGGGTAGTATCTTCCTTTCAAAATTTGACTAACTAGGAGCTGAGGTTGGCTCTGTATTCTCCATAATTGCTTGAGGATCAAGGCTTTGTTGAAAATATGTAGGTCATGAAACCCAAGTCCCCCCTTCTCAGTTGGTAGTGTGACCTTATGCCAACTTTTCCAATGAATACCTGTTGATTCTCCACTGTTATTGCTCCACTAGAAGTGTGACATGGCTGCTGAGATTTTTTGAGTGACTGATTGTGGGAGAAGGAAGCATGACATGGTATAAGTTGGTAGGGCTCCAAGTACTGCTTTAATGAGGACCTCCTTACCAGCCAGTGAGAGATGCCTATTTTTCCAGTTCAAGATTCTGTTATTTACAGCTTCACACACAAATGAGAAGGTAGCAGTTTTTGAGACTCCAATGCCAAGGGGCAATCCTAGATACTTGGAAGCTGTTTGCTGTTTGATTCCCATGAGTATGCTGCAGATTTGGTCTCTGAGTGATTGGGGAGTGTTTTTGCTGAAGAATATGGATGACTTTTCAAGATTGACATGTTGCCCAGTCAAGCTCTTATATTGTCTGAGGATATTTAACAGAGTGTAAGCTTGCTGAGCATCTACTGCTGAGAAAATGAGTGTGTCATCTGCAAAAAATAGGTGAGTGATGGAGGGACAGTGTTTGTTCATCCTTATTCCCTGCAATGTGCCCCTGTTCACTTCAGATTTGATCAAATGAGAAAGAATTTCTGATATCAGGATGAATAGATAGGGTGATAGAGGATCACCCTGTCTTATTCCCCTTGTAGGCTTCAAATACCCAACAGCTTCTCCATTCACATTGAAAGAAAAGGATGAGGAGTTAATACAATGCATAATCCAATTCACAAAAAGGGAATTAAAACCTAGCTTCAGCATTATGACACTCACACTATCCCATTCCACTCTATCAAAAGCCTTACTCATGTCTAGTTTAATGGCCATATAACAGTATTTCCCAGCTCTGTGACTTTTCAGAAAATGAATCACCTCATTAGCAATAATCACATTGTCCAAAATTTGCCTATCTTTCACAAAGGCAGACTGATTATCACTAATACATCTAGGGAGGCAGGGCTTTAACCTATTAACCAGGATTTTAGAGACAACTTTGTACACCACATTGCACAAGCTTATAGGTCTATAGTGAGCCACTGTGAAAGGGTTATTGCATTTAGGAAGCAAAGTTATAAGAGAGTGATTAATACATTTAAGCACATTCCCAGAGCTGAAAAAACTAAGCACTGAATTACAAAGATCTTGACTCACAATGGACCAAAAGGATTGAAAGAAAAGGGATGTCATACCATCAGGTCCTGGGGCTTTGGTAGGGTTTATACTGAAGAGAGCTTCTTTGATTTCAGTTGTGATGACTTGTGCCACCAAGTCTTGGTTTGTTTCAGGAGAGATGACTTCTTCCATATTATGCAATATCCTGTCACCTGTGTGAGTCCCCTCAGAAGTGAAGAGCTGGGAGAAGAACTCTTCTATGAATAGTACAATCTCATCTTTACTGTCACATATGGAGTTATCTTCTCTGATCAATTTCAAAATCTTGTTCTTTCTCCTCCTCTGCATTGTGTGAGCATGGAAATATTTTGAGTTTTTGTCCCCATGCTTTAACCATGTAACCCTAGACTTCTGTGCCCAGTACTGCTCCTCCAATTTGTATGCTTCATTCAGTTCTGAGTTCAGGTTATCCCATTGTTCCCAATCTCTCAACCCAGCTTCTTCTCTCATTTGGCTGAGCTTCCTGTTTAGGGTGTCGATCTTCTTGGCATTCTGAGAATGGAAAGAGAAACTCCATTTCAACAGTTCCACCCTAGTATTTTTGATCTTAGACTTCAAGCAAAACATTGGAGTTCCAAATTGTTCTCTTTCCCAGGCTCTGACCACTAATTCTTTAATTCCTGATCTGCCGAGCCATCTTTTGTCAAGTTGAACCGTTTTTTTTGTGAGAATCTTCTTGGTTGCAGCAGATGAGCAGCATGCTATGGTCTGATGCACTTCTAAAGATATTGTGCACAATGGCTGAGGGATATTTAGCATGCCAGTCAAAAGATCCCAGGCATCTATCTAATTTCTCTTCTATAAATCCTTCTTCCCTTCTGTTGTTTCCCCAGGTAAAGGGGTATCCATTCCATTCCACATCCCACATTCCCATTGAGTTTATGAAATTTTGAAGGGGCTACAGGAATGCTGATTTCTGGCTATACCTCCATTTTTCTCCTCTAGGTTGGCTATGTCATTGAAATCTCCTGTCATGAACCAGAATTGTCCCCATTTGCTCTTGGCATTAGCTAGAAACTCCCACTGCTCTTGTCTAACTTTTGAATCTGTGTTAAGATAGACAAAAACCCCCCAGCAAACCATTTCCCTCCCTTCATCCCAAAATTCCACCTCAAAACAAAAGTGATGTTTGATCACTTGAAAAATATGTACATTGTGATCCCAGCATAAATACAACCCTCCACTTTTACCTATTGGGTCTATAGCAGCCCAGTTCTCTCTAATCCCAAAATTCTTACCCACTGTACATAAGAAAGAGCTCTTTTTTTTTGTTTCTGATAAAAATAGAAAGGTTGGGTGATGGAGCTTCCATATCTCCTTGATTTGGGGAACTGTAGAGGGGCCACCCGCACCTCTACAGTTCCACACCGCAGCTTTCATTGAGGGGGTGAAGGCCATTTAGGGCTGGCCACCTGCACCTCTTCATCTGTGGTTTTCAGTTTCTTCTTGTGACTTTCAGTTGATTCTCCAACTTCACTCCCCTGCTCCTGAATGAGTAGAGGACCTTCATATTGTCTCTTATGACTGGCCGTTATCATAGTAGTGTTTTTCCCTGGCTTGTCATTGGTCTAGATTTTCCTCTTCCAACCTCTTCTTTTTTCCTGGTTTCCTTCCGTTTTGAGCTGGGTTGGTGAAGATTCCATCAAGGTGATAGCCTCATTCTCCACCCAATCTTCTGTTATTTTAATGGTGCTTTGAGTTTTGGGTATTGGATCTAAAGGAAGATGAAGGAAGATGAAGGAATATAATACTCAATGAATCAAGCCTTTTTGTGCACACTTTTGATATATTTTGCTTCTTTCACGAGACATGTTTGAATTGTATGAAAACATTGTGGTTTATTTGATCTAGCGCAACTTTTTGCCTATTGCCTTTGTCAACAAGTGTTTTTATTTCACTAGTAAGCTAATTTTTTGTTGGTTGGTATACTAAAAGCTTTACTATAGTTTAAACCAAATTCTAATTTTGAATGAGAATTGAAATTAGTCGAAAGTGTATGCATTTATATTTCGAATATGGCAATGCAAACTTTGTCCTGTTGTTCACATCGAAGATAATATTTGGCGTCGTCACACAACAGATTATATTATCGGTTCTTTGTGCAACATAAATAAGGTACATAACCGAGTTGGCAATGGACAAACCTATTGGTATGGTTATAGTATAATTTGAGTTAGTTTTTCTTAACTAATGAATTATACTAGTACACTTTGTTTGTGTAACGCAAAAGTCCTATTATTGAATTAATAAACACGAGAAATTTGTACAAATTGATTTCAACGAATCAAATGAAATATTATGAATTACAAATCTCTATTATTCCTCTGATTAATTTCTTCAAGAGCAATCTTCAAATGGATATTAGACTTCTGCAGATGAATCTTCAGTTTGATCTCCGCGGAACTTGACTTGAATTTAAATAACGCTTCTTCGAGGGCTTGGCAGCTTGATCTCGAATCGAACGCCGTGATTTCCCAAGAACGTGAAGAACACGAGTTGTTGGTCTTCGCCGCATAGTTGATGTTCGATCTTGTAACACCCCACTTTGATTTAAGAAATAATCCATGGCTTATTCAAAAATCAAGTTTACATTTTTGAAATTCATTTTTCATAATCCATAACATTAGGGCATTATCTTGATTTCAATTCATATTTGAAACCTCACGGGTATACATTACCCGGTTTTTCACATGGACTTCATTGTCCTAAAATCAACAGTTCACATGATATCCAAATGACACATTCAATATGAATACCCAAACATAGTTCCATAAAAAGAACCAAATCATATGTTCAAACCAACATAATTTCAACGACATGGTCTGAAATGAAATAACATGTTCATAACCCAACATTTCCAAGTTCATCAGTTCGGGTTAACTTATTCAAAATAAAGCGGAAGCAAATAATGTAAATATGACTGTCCACTCGCCATCCTGACGTCGTGCCCACCCTGCTTAACCTGAAACGTGAATTTCAGGTGGGGATGAGCACAGTTGGAAAAAGTAGTGCTCACCGCTATGCAATAAATAATGTGTTAAGACAGATAAGTATGGTGGCAGCATGAACACGAATCATTTAAATATCACATCTCCTAATCATAACCTTTTACTCATGTGCACATCTATCATTAGCCATTGAAGGTCGAAACCGCACGCAACAATGAGAGTAAATACCGAAGGGTGTACAACTCCCCTCGGCCTTGCCTATCATTAGGCTAGGGAGACTGCCTATCATTAGGCACCGTCGAAGGTCGAAACCGCACACGACGATGGGGATAACCGTTCGAAGGTCGAAACCGCACACATCGAAGGTTACAGGTTCACATGCATACATTGATCATACCATTCGACTTTCATAAAGAATTTAATGCATAGGAAATTTTGAATAACCCACCTGGTCGCGAAAAGGAGACAATCACGAAAGCCCGAATAGGTTGCGAGCTCGGCTCGTCAAACACCTACATTAAGTCCAGATGCTATAATCAACATCTATTCTGGCTTAGATGGAAAATCACAATCATACTTAGTCGAACTTGACTCAACTAAGTTGTCGTGAAGTCCTGTGGACGTTGGAACACTTAGACTTGACATCTAGACTCAACCAATTACACATGGGAGTTCACATAAACCCATCTAAGGATTGACTAAGTCAAACACTTAATGAAACAAAGGACGAGTCGATTTACAGTTTTTATTCTAAAAACCACATTTACGATTATACTAGTTTAAATCACAAAAATGAGTTGACCAAGTTGCCATATGAATTTAGCTCTCAAATTTTAACCAAAATTTCACCTCCCAGAGTTAAGCAAAACCACAAATTTTCAGCTTCAAAACCCAAGTACGCTATTTTATAAAATTCCCACAAAATATCAGCAAAGAATTTATACTCAAACTTAATGAATGATTCAGGACTTGATAAATTTACACAATACACTACAGCATGATATAAACAACATATAAAAATCTCAGCCCTTAACATTAATTGCTGCTATTTTTAAAAATTCAAACGAGATTCAGCAGTTTATCGAATTTAAATCAAAATCGAATCAAAATGAACTTCAAAAATTTCTATATTTTAACAGTATGAATAAGTACACAAAATAAGCATCGCCGTAAAGTTTCAGAATTTTCCAGCAAGAATTCAATTTACTAAAATTAAATTATGAAGCTGCAGAATAAAACAAATAATTTTTAAATATAGCAAACGAAGTACAAAAATTCCAAAACTTTTACACGACCTAGAAAACATGCAGGGAGACAACATATTCAAATTTCATAATTTTTAAGGCATTTAATATGCATTTTACAAGATTCTGCTCAGATTTCCAAACAATTATTAAAAATAGCTGAACTTATTATTTAAATCTGAAATTTTTACACAACATGTATTTCCAGCAGAGGGTCGAGCACATAAAATTTCACGTTGATACGAGCATCACAGAATTTATCATAATTTATATATCAAAACAGCAATTAAATAATTTCAACAATTCATAACTGACTCGTTTTACTACGAATCCGTCCGAAGTCTTCGCCATAAGACTATGGACAGCGTAAGTTCCAGCCCACAGCGACAAATTCACGAGTTGACGAGGCCACGTTCAATTTTCCAAAATCGAAAGGCTCGTCAAGGCACAATTTCATAAACAACACAAATAATCTAACGGATACATACAAAATCACATAGGCATATATTCTTGAATTAAACCTTCACATACGACAATCAAATACACAACATAAACGAGACGAGTCGAGCCTTGTACCGTTCTCGGGAAATAAACGAAAACAAACGAACGAAAGGTTGACGGGCTCGATCGAACGGCATGCGAAACGGCTCGAGGCTCGACGGCAAGCTTCGTCTCGCCGGAAAAAGAGGCTACTCGCCACTGAGGTGTTGACGGGCTTGCGGCGAATGCGAGAGGATCACGGCAAGAGGGCAGCGACGGAATTCGGAGTTGGAGGGTTCGCCGGAAGTGGTCGTGATCGCAGCTGGGGCGTGCTCGCGAATAGGAGGTCGCCAGCGGTGGAGTTGCTGCAACGTAGGAGGAGGAGTCGCCGGAAGGGATGGTCCTCGCGAAATTTCACGGCGATCGAAAACTTCAAAGCAAGGGGAAGGTGATGACTGAGGGCGACGGTTGATGCTGGACGGAGATGGTGGCAGGATTAATTGCAGAGATGGCGATGATATAAGA